AGGAGATACTTCGTCTTGTCCTCATTTACCACCAGACCCATTCGCTTTGCTTCCTTATCCAACTTGGAAAAGGCAGAACAGACTTTCCGGTTTTTGTTACCGATGATGGCGATGAATGAGGTCACTGCTTACGGGAAAATAAGTGGATACTTTACATGGGAAGGTAGATGGAGTACACATTACGCCACGATAGTATATCAGCTGAAATATGACTCTCTAGATTCCCTACACTGAGTGGAAATGTTTTTCTTCTCTGAAATGGATTAATGTCTGACATCCTATAAAAAAGTACTTTAAGAGGAAAAGTTTCGAAATAAAGGACAAAACAGATTTTTAGAAAAACAAAATGAAGTCTAGGGACAGCATCTTGAGAAGTAGGACTTCCCTTTTAAATAAAGTACGGATGGTCACCGTAATTATAGAGCATTTCAATACAACCAAGCTTTGGTGTTACATACTTGTATTTATATGTATGTATGTATAAACATATATTTATTTATATACATACTTCCGATTAATGAGCGCCGAAATTGAAATCAATTAAAGGCAAAAGTACGCATAGCGTTTTTCAAATGTACGTCGTTATAATTATAAGTGATCAGTCTTTTTTTGCTACAATTTTACTGAAGACCCTTAATTTTATAAACGAAAATTACAGCACTTGCGGAATTTTATCAAGATTTGTACTTTCGTCGTGTGCGCTGATAAAGCTCAGAGCAAAAAAACATAGTGCGAAATTTGATAACTAAACATATTCCATGTCTCGGCGTTGTCATTTTTTTTTTTTTGGTAGTAAGTGAAGAGTCAGTACAAAAATCTGTAGTTAACTGCCGATTCTGAGTTAACTACGCACTGTGCGTTTTAACTCTTATAAAATTATTTTCATTTGTACGCGCATCTTTCACAAACAAGGTTACTTACATACATATATATCATAGTACAGTTGAAAACTGAATCAAAAGCTGCATTTGAACTTTAAACTTCACTTCAATAGTGAAGCACTGAGTTAAGACCCAAGTGAATTATATAGTACATAGCATAGTACATAGACTTACATACATTGCATGCTTTTATATCTGTTTATTTGCTGAACGTTATATGAAGTAAAACAAATAGCTGTTGGCTTATCATTGAACCTCGTGCGCCTTTGTAATTGTCAAAATGTGTTTGGCACTTTTTATTAGCTTGTTGTAATTGCACATAAACAGCCAAACAGTTGTTAATATTCCCAAAGTTATGCGACTACAAGTTTGTCTTCATCACAAACACTGATAATATTGGCCATTTTGCGGTGTTTCGGTGTTTAACAGTGGTCCAGATTCCATCCCATAAGGGGAAAATTGTTTAACGGGACTAGGTACTCGTCGAAGACTCGCTAGAGCCTACATATTTGAAAGGGTCTAGAGAGAGAGAGCTAGAGGTGGGGAGATAGAAAAGTTTATAAATAGATAAGATAGATAAGTTTATTCTATTATAAAACCAAAATTGTTCCATTTCTAAAACTTAGTAGACGACTATAAAACTGCTGCGATAGAACAGAACCAAGTAACTTGTTTTTTTGTACAGTGCAGAAAATTAGGGTTTTATCTAACAATATTTTTTTCATACCTATTGTATTTCAATTTTACTTTATGGCTGCTAGAAAAACCGGAAATTTTTAAAAGGTTGACCAGCAGAATGAAATGCTTACAATTTTGCCTAGCCTATCAACAAGCAGTCTTTTGTTCTGCAGCTTATCAGGATTTACATCCATAACAATTCAGCTAACCTTCGGCTGGTAACTGGTTTTTGGACTATTAGTAAACCATTAATACCAGTATCGAAACATCCATAAAGCCCATCCATGATATGTCATCATGTTGTGATATGCGGAAGATACGCTTCGAGCGTCAAGGTCCGCATGCGCCTCAGTGCAATGAAGAACGTGGGTCAGGCAGGCACAACAGACAGCCGAGAAATTTCGCAATCGACTCTCAATCCTGCTTTAAAAAGAAACCTTTCATCGGCCGGATATAAATGAGTAGTGGGAACCCATTTCGCAATCTCTTCGTGCCGTTGATGAGAAACCGAGAGATGAGAAAAGACGTATATTCAAAAGAAAGTAACGAGAGGCATAAAGACGTGAATGTGATGGGGTTGAGATGCTGGCAGAAGGAATTCGGCTCGACAGTTCTATCAGAAAATAAGCAGCATCCCAAGGGTTTCAAAACCGGGGCTGGTTTCTTGAAGATGGAAATCTGTTAACAGATGTCCAGAGTACACTTGAGATGTGGAAGAAGAACTCGAACCAATGTTTAGGTACGAAGCTCAGGTTCATCCACTTAACCAAGACGAGGTAAAAACAGCAATAAGGGGGCTCAAAACAACAATGGCCCGGAGCCGACGGTATACCGGCTGAACTGTTCAAAGCCGGCGGCGAAGTGCTGGTCGGGCGCATGTATCAGCTTATTAAGTAGAATTTGGTCTGATGAATATGTATTCATGCCCAAAGATTGGAATCTCAGTGTACTTTGTCCAATCCATAAGATGCCGTTTCAACATGCTCTACAAATCTCTCATCATGCCCGACATTTAATGTGGCGCAGAAACAGGGATGATGTCTAATAAAGGTGAGAAGATTTTTGGTGCTTTCGAGAGAGCTATTCTATGCAAAATCTATGAGCCTGGAATGACGAACTGTACACGCTTTTTAACGACGTGGGCAAAGTTAAGCGCATACAAATACAACGATTGCGCTGGCATAATGCACGCAAATGCGCCCACGAACACAATTGAACGACCAAAAGCAGATGGGATGAATAACTGGCGCAAATACGCCAGGGAGAGAGGCAACTGGCGAAGCTTTTTGGTCTCGGCCCAACCGTCAAACGGTTGTAGTGCCAAATAAGAAGAAGAAGTAGAGCATTAAATTTGCTAATCAATTCAATTTGATTTTACTCATAGTTTCTGCGACACTTTCTTTCAACTGTTTTTTCTGCTGACCTGGTTATTTGGACTTTTGCCGAAGACCATCGACTTGGCTCTCAGTTTATGAAGGAATCTAAGGTTTACTTCGGCCTCCCACCTAGTGCCTATTTAAGTATCTTAACATTAAACAGTCCCCGAAAATTTACTATTTCTCCCTTGAAAACTGATTTGCCTTATAATTTCTTTCAAACACATCTTCATGAATTATTAGAAGTTTGAAACCGCCTGCACTTCCCTAAAATTAGTCAAACACTTACCTAAATATGTATGTCCATAAACATATTGTCATTGAACAGTCTTACAGGGCCATTCTGGCTAAGGTAGTAAACAGTCTTTCGTAAGACAATTGTAGGACAGATGGCAAGATGGTAGGAAAGGTTTTTGTTTACCGACACGATATCGAACCGAAAGTATCGATAAAGTACTCATTTAAATTATCGCTGCAAATATATCGCGTGCCCATTATTATCGGGATATCAATGGAGTAATGCAATACAAGTCGCCTCAAGACAATTTTCGCTTATCCACTGCATTACTGTAATGCAATGGCAAGAAATTTTACATTTATTCGATTACCTCCAATGACATGCACATGTTAAAATAATGCATTCTGTAAACGAAAAGGTAAGCGGTTACTCTCAAAAAGTGGTTCCCCAATCGAGGGTAACCGCTTACCTTTTCGTTTACAGAATGCATTATTATTAAGTATCATTTAATTTTTCCTTTTAATTTTATATTTTATTGTAAAAAAAAACAAATTTTATTTCATTTAATTTTTAGGATCTTATTTAATATTTTTAATTGTTTTCCTTTAAATAAACATATTTTTAATCTAATTTAATTTTTCAGTACTATTTCCTTCTTTTTGGATTCAGTTTTCTAATTTTTCGAATTGAATTTTCTTTTATTTATTAATTTTTATTCTTTTAAAAAGAAAAATGTTGTATTTTTTTTTTTTTTTAATTTAATTTTTATATAGGCGAACAGCATAACGGTAAGACCAGCTTGTTAGCAGGTTTTTTAATTAGTCTTTCGAAAGTCAGTAAAGAGCCAGAATTGACAATTGTTTTATTAAAGACTTTTGTCTTTCGAAAGACTGTGGTGAGGAGGAAAGGCAGTTGCCAGAATCGCCCTGTTAATGAAAGCAGAAGTATTTTTTTTTCGTTTTTCTCATATTTCATAATTCATTCAAAACACTGTGCAGTCAGTACCTGTTTCCAGGCTGCGCTCTACCCGCTCTGCTCAACACTTTAAAGTGAAGTGTTAGTGTCGAGACCCCTTATCTAGTTCCATGTATTATATGCGTCGCTTCAACGCGAAATTTAACATTCGTTTTGCTTTTTTTTTATTATGTTATTTTTTTTTTATAACACATCCATTGTGATTTGATAAGCAACAAATTTTTCTCATTTTTGTTGTTTTCATGCTCTTCACTTTTTCTACAATTTACCTAGATACAAAAAAGCAACGCTTCGAATCAATTTAATAGCCGACCACGCGACGAACGAAACAATGAAAGGGAATACGTGTTTCGCTATTCATTTTAACTTCTATTTGAGCAAAATTTCTGTCTCATTCGGCATCGTTGTTACGTTTGTTGGCTGGACATTTCGCAATTGAAATGCTGTTGGCATTACTTCAGCCGTTACACATAAAACAATTAGTTTTTTTTATATAAAGTTTTGCAGTTACGAAAGCAAATACAAATAAAAGTAAGTATAAGAATAAAATGCATTTAGCGTTCTTCGAGTGACAAATGTTTGAACAGTGCAATTTTTCGCTTGGGATGGTGAGTAATTGACCACTTAATTGTCTAACTAATTCAATGAGAAACCACCATCGAGTTTCCTATTTAAATTTGTTTTCGCTGGCATGTTAACTGTAGGATTCGATCTATAAAAGAAAAATATGTAACGACCTCTGCATATTTTTTTGAACGCGTTGAGGGTGGACCATGTCCCATATAAAGTTTTTAATCACAGGATTTATAATTTTCAGCTTCTATTAATTTTCCAATTTCTTTCATTTTTCAGAGTACAAAACAGATGCACAACTGAGCTGTAGCTGAACCCGTCTTTAAGTTTTAAAGAATACTTGACAAAGAGTTCGAAAGTTCACAACACGGCGATTGCGATAATGAATTCTACCAGAGAATTAAAAAATGGTACGAAAGCGCAAAAGAAAACGATTAAGGCCAATAAGAAGCAACAATTGAAGCAGCAGCAGCAACAAAAACAACTGCAGGAAGGTCAAAAGCAAACCGAGGTGATAACAACAACAACAACTATAACAACTGCCCCACCTAATGTGGTGACCCACGACAACACCAACAGACTGGGCGTTAAAACTACTAAAATGCCAGTACACAACAACATCAACAACAATAACAACAACCATATTGTACAAAATAATAATAACATCAACCAAAAAATGTTCGATTCTGCCGGTCGTGCGTTGAGCGCCACACCTTCTGCAATATCACTGCCAGCGACTAGCATCTTGCCTGGCTACGAGAATGCACCGAAATTTGAACGGTCAAATAGTTTTTCGCTGCGCGGCAAACTCTCCAAGCTACTCAATTCTATTACGGGCAGCAAGGAGAATCTGACGAGGGTGGACGACGAGAATGCCACGCCATACAAGTTCACACGCAGCCGCTCAATGATATTGCTGCGTCGCACCAATCGACGCAGCTTAATAGAACCGCAACTGGAACAGCTGTGCGAGGAGACGGATCCCACATCACCGTCGTCGCCGCGCAAGAATTCCATGGAAGT